TATCAGCCACTCATTTGGTCTCATCCATTTAACAAATGCAACTGTAAAGTTTATTATGTGTGTCAAGTAAAAAGAAAAAGTGATGAGATTTTCTACACAAAGTAATGCAGTAAAATAAAATGGAATCTATTTTTAAACTCCTTGAGTTTAAAATCCAACTGTTGACACTTTAGTGGTTTGTGACTTTGCATGGATTACTTGTTCTCTCTGTGTCTCTGTTTTCACAGAAACTAAAGATGATAATAATGTTATCTCTCTATAATACATAGCAAAGAATCAGTTAACTATTTTAAGTTACCTTGGCTTAAGAATTGCCAAATAATAAATGCTAGTAAGTGTTTGATAGTATAATTGTTTTTATCTAGATGTATAACCAATGAGTCAAATATTACATTTAGTAAATCTTTTCATACAAAAAATTGAAACGAAAATAAAAAATAAGGTTCAAAGAGTAGAATAAGAAGTATTTATATGAAATTATTAATCCACATAAGATGAGAGCTGATTTCAATGTTTGAATCAAAGTAGTGTAACTGCATATAGATTCAAGAGACTAACTAGAAACCAATAACAAAAAGCTTAAGTTGGAAAAGATTTCCTGGCAGTTTACCAACATATGTGGAATGTTTTGTTTATTATAATAAATATGATTTCAATTTCCACAGAATAATCAATTTTTTACTTTCTATGTGTATCTTCCTCTATCTTCATACCTATCCATCTAATTTATATTAATATTTATATTTTCATTTCCTTAATTAATTGTTCAATACCTACTTTTCCCTCGGGACTCTTCTTGTCATATATACAGCTGCACTTATTTGTTTCTACTCTCTCTTGCATCCACTTTTCATCCTTCTCCAATCTGATTTCCATCCAAAGGAAATGATATTGAAAAGGTCACTAAGAATTTGCCACTAAAGCCAGTGAATTTGTAACTGCTATCAAGGAACTTAATCTATTTGTAGAATTTCAACATAGTGGACGCCGACACTCTTCTTGAATCACTCTCCTCTCTTGCTTTTTTTTTTATACTGCATTCATCTGGTTTTCTCTTATGCTTTTGTGCTGCATCTTTCTCAGCTGTTTATTTGAACTGACACATAAAATCGTATATATTTATAAGGTGATATGAAATATTTTGATAGTAATTCAAATTCCCCTAAAACAAGCCCAAAGCTTCAGGGAATCTGCCACCCATGGGATTTCCAGGAAGCAAATAATCCCCATTCCATACCCTAAAGGGTTCCCCAAAAGCAACAGACCTATCCACTCTCCTTTCTCTCTCTCTCTCTCTCTCTCTCTCTCTCTCTCTCTCTCTCTCTCTCTCTCTCTCTCTCTCCATATATATATATATATATATATATATATATATATATATATATATATATATATATATATCTCAGCTTATCTAGAAAAGTGCTTACTTCATTTTTCTGCCCCTGGTGCGATCCCGCCTTACCCCTTCTCAATCCTTAGCTACAAAAAATATATTCTCAAATCATGTAATTTTCATTTTCTGTCTCCTCCCACCTCTCAGGCTCACAGATCATTACAATTCTGCTCATGTGTGGAGGTTGAGTTTAGTTCCTTCTGCCCATTCAATTCTTACATTTTTTTCTTACATTGTATAATGTACAGATCACAGTAAACATATACATACATTGTGTAATACCAGGAAGCAGAAGACAATGAATCATTGATTCATTTCTTCTTTTTAACTATAATATTAAACTTATTGACCAAACTGTCCTTTCCTGCTTTCCTCAGTGTCTGGCAATCACTATTCCATTCTTAACTTCCATAAGTTGTACTATATTGGACCTAAGGGATTCAATTTTCTGAAATGGTCTATTTCACTTTATCTAGTATTTTCCATTTCTATACAGGTTGGCAAACTTATTTCATCATTTTATAGTTAAATATTATTCCATCATCCTCTCACCAATTTGACCATTCACTAACTATAACTTTGCTTCATTATGTTATTTAATTCTTATATTTAATTACAAAATAATTTTGTAGTTTATAATTATATTACTAGCTAATATTCATAGAGCAATACTCTGTTGCAGTTAATGGCTAAGAAAATTATGTTATTTTTATAACAACTTGTGGGATAGATGTTGTTAATGATATCCTAAAATTACAAAAGGAAAGGGGATGCTTCATACTTATAGAGAACATATTCAATAATTGATAATTTTTATGCACCTCAATATAACATTGTGAAGCCTGAAAAATTTACTGTGCATTTGCCATTATCTCTTACATTTGATATCTAAAATATAAATCTTCAGTTACAATTTACTGCTTATTGTGAATCCCAAAATCTGTAGTGTTGTCAAAATAACTTTTCAACATCTTTACATGAGTTTTCACACCATGGCTTAGATTAAGGGAAGGGCCAAAAGAAAAAAAAAGGAACAACATATCATGGATATGAAATAAAAATATCTAGTTCATTTAAGTAATTGCATCAAAGTGTTTTAAGTATTATTTTTACATTTTATTTTTATTTATTTTATTTTATTTGTGTGTGTGTGTGTGTGTTATGGGGGAGTGTGCACAGAAGTGAAGGTGAGGCCAGACGTAGGCCTCAGACTCACTGGTGCTGGAATTAGAGGCAGTTGTGATCTGCCAGACAAGGTGCTGGGGACAGAACTCAGGTCCTTTCCTAGAGCAGTATGAGCCCCAGTATGAGCCCTTAAGCACTGAACCATCAAAGTATTTTATCAGCAGTCTACAGATACAAATTCCCAAGTTGAAATTAAGACAAATGCTCCGGTAGATGTGACTGCAGTTTTAGGAACAATAGAACTCAATAATTCACATTAGAATGGTCCTGGAAAATTGAGGGCATATGGTCACTATACCTATGCAACAAAAGCACAAATAAGACAGAATTGAGCAGATGTTTTAGCACTGTGCAGACACATGCTTAATTTGTAAAGATTTTATGCATGTTTGAGGAAAACACAGTATAGCTGTGTTTTTAAATTGTTCTGTTCTGTCTGTTCAAAAGTGTTTAAAATATTCAGAACAACAAAAGGCCAGAGCCCCGTGTGAGAAGCAGTAGACTTCTGAGAGGAAGCCAAATTGAAAAATGTAGATTTTTGTTAAAGTGATGCCTTATGATGTTAATGACCCATGAAGAAAAGGAAATGCTCCCTGGTGTTTATGGAAAGGAGAAGTCCTAAAGTAACTAGTTCTCTCAAATTTAATGAGAAAACTTGCAATATTTTTTGAATGGGAGTATTGAATACTGTGTCTCTAAATTCCCAGACAGTAAGCCTGCCAATTTAATTTACTATAACCTAAATTTTAAGATAACCAAGTGATTCTTCTGACAGAGAAGTTCATCTGATGATTTACAATGCTAACTCAAGTTGAAATAATCATAAAAATTTATCATGGGTTCTTTAACAAACAACTCTAAAATTAAGCACATCTCCTTTATGAAGGGTCCATACATTAATAATCATTCCATTTTTTTTCATAATTAGAAATAGCCCCAGATACCCTTAATCGAGAAATATAGCATAAACATTTCTTCTTAAATACGGATGTGCATTTAGTGAATTATATTATAATTCTTTCTGTCTGTATTTTAAGTGCAATAGTAACCTCTTGTCTAGGAGATGCTCAAGAAATTGCTTGTGAATTGATGAGTGGGTGTTATAACCACAACGCAGCTATATTTTTCCATATTATAAATAAGGGGGAGAAGTAAGTTATACATTTAAATGACTTTGCATACTGCTCTAAATAATTACATGTAGAAAAATATGAGTTAATGAACCCACATCAACCCGGAAGAAATACTGTGTTGAATTAATCGTGTGCACAAAATTTAAACAAATACATTAGTGGATTATTCTTCAATTTAATAGATGATACATTCCTATGAAATAAAATAGGAAATGATCCAACTATACCTATAATCCCAGATTATATACCTAAAGGAATCAAAATCAGAACACAATAAAGATATCTACACACTTATGTTTATGGCATTTACCATAGCTGTTATAGAATCAACCTATGTCCCATAAACAGACAAATGAATCAAGAAAATGTTTATATGTGTGTGTGTGTGAGTGTGCTTTTGAAAGCAATAAACAGAGTTAGAGTTATATCATTTTGCAGGGAATTGCATATGAAACCAAATAAATTAGACACAGAAAGACAAATATCCAATATTTTCTCACATATGTATAATAATATATTAAAATTAAAATTAGAGAAATACTATTCAGGAAGAGGAAGAGAGCTAGCGGGAATGGGGATGGAGAAAAGAAAAAGTACATTGCATTCATGGATGAAAATCTCATGAAGACTTCCACAAAAGTTTGTAACTTCCATTTCAAGGGACCTTATGCTCTCTTCTACATACCCTTCACAGATACAAGTATACATACACATGTATATATACTCATACACACAGACACATAAGTGTACACATACCTGAATAAAATAAATATTGTTAAAAATACAAAACAAAATAATCTTTCTTGTTCAAAAAACATGAACTCATGCATATGGTGTCCAAGCTGAAGCTAAGAGACTACTTAGTCAGTATACTGAAACTAAATAGATTCCTATAGTGGCATGATGAAGTATTTTTCAACTCTAATGTTATGTGATTCTATGGAATAGACACTGAATTCATTAGAGATATGTGTAGTATAATTTTAATTTACAAATTTTTAAATTACTTTTCTTATGAATGGTTCATGCAACGAACTGACAAATAAGGCACTGAGGTGACAAGTGGCTGAAGATAGGACAAAGAATTAACCTGTATACCTCTCCATAGAGAATAGAGCCATAGGCCAAGGTAACAAGTCCTTGTCATTTGGATATCATCCTTCTATTTTTTAAATTACCACTTACCTTTGTATATATAGTCGATCAAAATATTAAAAGACATTAAAAATTACTTACTCTTTCCACACCACCATAGCTATATGATACTACATGTTGATTAAATATCTTGACTAGGTTACATCTTTAATTAGTACTAGATTCATTGATTTCTCATTTAACAATATGATAATGTATAATTCCCCAAACTCCAAGTCACATATATTTACCAAAATTTTATTTGCATTATTGATACATCATACACCATTAGTATATGGAGAACAATGTCTTCTTATGCAAAATATCTTTATAGTAATTCAGGAAGCAAAAAATGAAAAACATAAGTGTTTTTAGCATTTGCAATATTACTAAAAGCTGATACAATGATTAACATAATATAACCTTTTATTTTACATTGGAAGAATAAATCTTAAACACAGACCATCGAATATTTTTTACATATTTTTCTTTCTAACTTGCTCTCTCTCTTTCTCTCTCTCCTCAAGTTCTTTTAAAATCATTAATTTAATTGTGATCATCCTACACCTTAGAAGCCCCAATTTCTTCTTTTTAATTTGAGAAAAAAATATGAGTGTTTCTTGTCCTTCACCTACCCCTAGTGGCAAATTAATCACCCACTGGCAGTCAAGTTATGTTTTCAAAATCCATTTTAAGGGCCTTCAACTTATGAAATTAGCACTTTGGACTTTTGCCAAGGAGAAACCAATCTCCAAGAAAGTAAAAGAAGACAAGAAGTTGGAGAGAAGGATTTAGTTTGTGCTAAATGTCCCAAGGAGGCACAACATCTGACCTTCTAATGACCCCACTGAGGACAGACTGTTGTATGTGAAGGCATCTACTAGCCGCACATTCTTGCTACACTCATATTTCTAATTGAGCACCGTGAAGAAATGCCATTATTGTTAATGTTCTTTTTCCAGATCTACATTTCAGATAATACTCATCCCTCCGCTTGATCAGTTCTACAAAGAGAAATTTGAAGCAGGAAGCTGGTGAGCTCATTTTCCAGTTCAGAAATTCTTAAAAGAAATTAGCCCCTAGTTAGGTAGGTATTTTACTGTAAATTAATTTTAGATACTGTAAGAAATGACCTCAGATACTGCCCCATCTGTTTCTTTTGACAGCAGTGTTGCTGTTTTAGTTATTGTTCAAATTTCTCCAGTTCAACAAGAAGAGTTTTCAAGCAGAATTCCCAATAGGATCCCCAATATGATCCCCACACAAATGAATATTGTCATTAGTTCTCCAAGAAGCCTGAAAATTCCTTCAATGGAGTAAAATCTGGGATATGCATATACATTAAAACACTGCACACTTTTCAAATTATATATTTTATTGTATTAAGTTATTTTTCTCCATAATTTTATTAAATTTAAGATTCCTAAATGTCATTCTTATTAGTCCTCTCAGATACTGAAAAATATTTAATACATACTTAAGTTTTTATTTGCTGATTTAATTAAAATATACTTGTGAGTAGGGCAAGAGTATGGGAAAATCATGTAATATAATGATAGTAACATGGTCATTTAATCTACATCCAGACGCTACTGAATATAAGTTTTTTTTTCCAAATGGACAAATTAACTGACATTACTTTTGTTCAATTATACAATGGAGACCATTACTCTTGTCAGCCAAATAGCAAATACCTAATTTTACAAGTGAAATCAGATGAGCGCTACCAGTGGACTGCAAAAACAACAGCCACTATTGGAAATCTTCTTGCAGAGGGCAGGCTCTCTTGGTAAGGTCACTTCACATACAAAACCTAGCATAAAGAAGAGGAAAAAATATTTGTTTAACATCTTTTCATCTGCAAATAATATTCACAAATACTGTACTAAGTTTTCCTCACTATAGTCTTATGAGAAGGAGGGTTATCCCCTCACAGAGAAAGAAGTATTTACTATACTCTTAGCAGGCTGCAGGAAGTCCTCCATGAACTGGGAGCACTCAGTTCTAAAATGGAATAAACACTTTGCATACTATATAATTTTTATATGGGAGTAAAAGTTTGTTTTTTATGGAATGTTTTTTAAAATGGAAAGTGAAGCTGGCTCACATCACAAGCACTCATACTAAAGTTCTCTGCTTTTGTGGATAATTGCTTTCATTTGAGATGCTGCTTTATACATAGTAAAGGTTTCTCAAGTAAATAGGATTTAATAATTCTTTCTTCTTAATCTATCTTTCACAGTAACCCTATGAAAATATATTGTTTCCTCTATTATGTACGCAAACATAGAGATTCTGTGATTTTATTTAGGCACATTTGATTAAAGAGGTGAACTAGTGAATATCCATAAATTATGAAAACACCTATTAGAGCATATTAGATTATTGCTTATCAGATAAGACCTGCCTGTCCAGTTTTTAATTCCATCTTGAGTCACCCATAGCACCACTGACCTACACTATCAGTACTTACCATAAAACAAGCAGAAACTACTCTCAGATTTGTTCTTAATCTTCTTAGCTAAAATTCTCTTCTGTTAAAGCTTTAGTTCTGAGATCAGATATTCTAATTAAGAGTAAGAAGATTTTTTTAAACAATTCTTAAAAATAGGAAGGTTTATGTCCAACTGTTTTTTGTTTTGTTTTTAATCTACATTGACATGTTATCTAACTGGTTGTAACAAATGTTCAGTTCTTTTGCTGTATGTGTGTCTGTGTCTACGTCCTTTTACAAAACCACAATTTTGACAGTTATCTTCCAGATGACACATCTCACTACCTTTGTTTTGGGCCACAGGGGGAGAAAATTTAAAAAGAAGACACATTTTTGCAAGAAAATGTCACAAGTTTTTTGAAAGAAACTACAAAGTAGCAAAAAAACATATTTTTTCCTTCCATAATTTTGCAGATTGATTCAACATGGTGAAAAGTTCATGTTTTCTTTTCCAGTTAAAGAGTGTTTCATCTAAATTCCCTGTAATCCATTCTGATTAAGATTGTAAAGGTCTGCCAGTGTGTCCTCAGATAAATTGCATTACAGTTATCAGTGTTGAGATTTCATTAGAAAATTAATATAAGTGCTTAATATAAGTGCTTGTGATCTAATACTTTGAGAGAATGTAAAAGCAGTTAATTTTTCTAAGTCCCTGTATTAGCAGTTATCAACAAAGTTTAAATTTAATCTTTTTTCTTTTTCTTTAGCAAAGTAAATTTGTAGAGACAGGAAAAAAATTCTACCCTCAGTCACAAAAATCGTTAACATTAGATATAATATACAATGAAAATGAAAATAAAAATGTATCTTACTCCTAAGCAATTGCATCAGGAATTAATAAAATTGTAAAACTTGACCCCATCTTCTCGAACTAAATAATCAAGCAAAAGATGATTTTGAGCAAAAAAAAATCAATAGAAATAATATAATTTTTAAAAATACATTTTATGTAATTTTTCTTCTCATTCAGGAAAGGGGTAAAATACCATATAATTGAGATAAATTAATATATAATGTCTCTTGCCTGCATGCCTAACAACCTGCTTGAAGTCCTTCCACTTTGAAATATTGTTCGTTGTCAGCAATAAAACATTCTTATTTACACTAAACAATCTCACAGAAAACAGCCACGATTTTCAGAATATTTTTATGCACTAAAGTGTAGAGTTTCCCTCATTACTGTCCCCTACAAATAATAGGTACAAAAATATCATCTCAATATTCTTCTAAAATGCATTGCCTTTCCGAGAGAAAAGCTATGATTTGGTATTGCTGTGCTCCATAGCTATTTGAATTTCTATTTTTTCCATTTAAAAATTCTAATTTGGAGTTAAATAGAAAGAGAAAAGCATATCATAAGAAGTAGAGAAGATAGTCACTGCATTTTATAAAATTGTATTTACGGAGTCTAAGTTTCATTGACAGGATGCTCTGTGTGTGAGCATATACAATGATTAAAAATTTACCAAAAGCCATGAATGCCATTCCACTGTCACTTCCTTTGATTAACCTTCACCTGACCTCACTCCCTAAGGCAATTTCAGATTCCTTTGTTTCTACATTCACATCTTCAGTCAAGCAGGCGAATTTATTAAAAATCAGTCATTAAAACGATTTCCTCAGAAGCATTTTTTTTTTATTTTTCACACATGTTTGTTATAAAAATGAAATTCTTTACCATTATATATAGTAACTACTTGTGTCTATCCAATTGGGAGGACTCAGTTCACTCAGGAGAACGATGAACTAGGCAGTCCTGTGGTTATAGCCATTTTTACTGTACAAGTAAAATGTAAACAGAGAAAAGGCACAGTAATCACACGGAGTGCTCTAGTGCAGCTGAGATGGACAAAAACACGTAAGTCAATTCTACAATATATAATGGAAAATGGTATACTTTTTAAAATGTGCAATAATTTTCTAGAATATTTTCTGCCCAGGCTTATGGTCTTAAATCTATTGCTTTCTATTAAAATGTATGCCCCAAACAATAACCCTTTAGGTGATTTTCTAGGGCTAATTCTTAAATTCAAATATTTGGGGGTTTACTATGAATGCATTTGTTAAAATAGCATATCACCAGCTTGCCAATATTTCACACGGAAATGCTATAAGTAAGACTATAAGGAGGAAAAAACCAGGTTTCAACACTAAAACAAACAAAAAAGTCCTTTGAAAATAATTAAAAAGACAATAAATCACATTTGGGGGTTCATTTCATATGCTTTTTATCCTCATTCTTTCATCCCTCAAAAACTGCATGACTAAAAGTTTAATTCTACTTGCTAATTGCAAGGGAAATGAAATCTTTACAGTAGACAAAACAAGTTCTCACCACTCTAACCAACAGTCACTCACCATCGTAATGAATAATGGAGAACGAGACAATATGTTCCTTTTGATAAAATGCAGCGTGAAGCATTAAGCAGCACCTAGGAAATGTACTTGCCAAAAATCTTATGCAGCCTTCTGACCTAACTTTCAGTTTAGAGGAAATACAGGGACGTGAAGAATGAATTAAATACCACAAGAAAGGAAGTAATTAAATCCAGAAGATCAAACATTCTGTAGAAACACACAGTGCTCATCATTTTAACAACTCTAGTTTGTAAAGTTAAGAAGAAGAGAAAAAAATTCCTTGAAGTTTTCTTAGATTTGTAAAGAAGAAGAAGAAGAAGAAGAAGAAGAAGAAGAAGAAGAAGAAGAAGAAGAAGAAGAAGAAGAAGAAGAGAAAGAACTGTGAATGATATGGCTGTTACAAACGTTTGGGACAATAAGATGTCCAAATTGAAATAGAAGATAAACTACAAAAATTGTCTACTAGAAAGTATGATAGTAATATAATTATAGAGAAAATCAATGGTCTCTTTTAAAAAAATAACCTAGGAGAAAAATTATAGTTAAAATATCATGATGTCTAGCATTATCTTTTAAATTTTAAATAGTTCAGATAAAAGTAGATGAAAAAATATACAAAACATTAATTCATTAGATTTAAGTAGTAACATATGTAAGTTTGTGTGTGTTCCTGTGCGTAGATAGGTATATGTGTCTTTATCTCACTATAATTCTTTCAGCTTTCTGTATGTTTGAGAAGTTTTAAAATAAAGACTTTTTTAAAGTACATACCCCAAAACCTAAAAGAGATCACTATAGTCAGGTTCTAAAATACCACCAGTTTCCTGTTTTCTCTTTTCCTCGCTTGAAACTTAGGCAGCTTTCAGCCCCTCTCCTACTCAAATACATTATCCAGAGCTTGAAGTCCCTACCTGCCTTCCTGTCTCCAACTTTTTTAGGGGATGGACAAAGGTCTTGGACTAGTGATATTTTGAGATCAGTTAGGCCTTAGTTTTGAAGCACCATCTGCCTCCTATAAAGTGTTTTAAAATATAAGATATAAAACCTATATCTAATTATGCATTAAATGTAATTTTAGTATGAAAACTTTGAAGAGTTTTTAATAATATAAATTTAAGATAAATATGTTGAGATTTAAACTTCATTATATTGACATATATTTTCTTAAGTATTAATTTGAGTTTATTACTGGATAGGTTTATTATGCTAGTTAGGGATTAAAATGTGTATACATATCGAAACTACTGTTATCTTCCCATATTTTTTTAAGATCAATTTCCCTAGGTTCTAAGCATGCTTACAGATCTTTGAAAAACCTGCTGTCAAGCCGGGCGGTGGTGGCGCACACCTTTAATCCCAGCACTCGGGAGGCAGAGGCAGGCAGATCTCTGTGAGTTTGAGGCCAGCCTGGGCTACATTGTGAGTTTCAGGAAAGGAGCAAAGCTACACAGAGAAACCCTGTTTCAAAAAACCAAAAAAAAAAAAAAAAACCAAAAAAAAAAAAAAGAAAAGAAAAACCTGCTGTCAATGAACTGATCACTAGAATGTGAAACCATCAAAAAAAAAATCATAGGTATGTCCCTGCCCCTAAAGAATTAAGCCCTTTTAACATATTTTGCATAGGCAGCCATCTATTATTAGTGTACAGTGTACATAAACAAAAACTATGTAATTAAGCTAGAGATATATAGAATAAAAAATTGTTAGAACCAGTTTTTAGGTCCTTAAACCAAAGTCTTTGCCTAGATGAAAGAGGGGTGGGGATCTTAAGCTTTTAGCAAAATGAAACATAAATACATGGAGGCTGGTGGGTACTCTACAGCTTTTTGTTGATTTCTGGAATCCATATTTTTCCTCAGAACTTTCATAATTTCTAACATTCTGCCTCCTTATGGACAGTCACGGATTCTAGCCTAACTTCTTTCCTTCCAAAGATAGGGCAGCTGAGGCCAGCTAGGAGA